CTACTGTTACTATATTACTATCTACTTCTAAAATTTCTGCAATTATTTTGTCTATATAGTCTTCAAGACCTATTACTGCATCACTTCCTTTGGCAATTATTTCTTTGCCATATTCTTTTGTTACTATCCCTACTAGTCTTGTTGCTTTGGCTCTATTCTATATACTTTCCAACTCTATCTTCTTTTTAAAGTGATCTCGTCTTTTTTTCAGTAATTCCTAGTAACTTTTTCTGATTATCTGTGAGCTATCTAGTTTTAGTTTTGCGTATATTGTTTCTAATATTCAGTATGTAATACATAGATTTTCCTATGATATATTTTGTTTACCTTAGTTTATACATGTTGTACTATGTCAAATGATCTGTGTCTCTGAGTTTGTTTGAATCTCCAAAAATCTAAAAAAATATTTTCGTCATCTGTTCTAAAGTCTAAACTTCTTTAATATTTTAAGTTTTTTAGACTTTTCTTCTGTTCTTCTATTTTGTTATATGTATTTTTGAGTTCTGAATCTTTTATCTTAGGAGATTTTACTGTATTTTATAAGCTATTTAATAAGTTTTCTATAGATTATTCTTTAGTTTGAATTTTGATAAAATTGATCTATAGAGAGAGTGGCATGATAATTTGAGTATTTGATAAAGAATTACTAGCTAAATTAGTAGAAGATTTTAGAACATCAGAATCTGAATCTTCACTATTATCTTCAGATGATTCTTCATAGTGAAAGTTAGAAGTATCTATTAATAATTTAATAAATTTTAGTTACAGTATAATATCATACAGTATTAATTATTTTTTATTACCTTGTTTATCGTCTGAATTATTATAACCTACTGCGGTATCAACAAATCTATATTTAAGTACTTGAATTAAAGAATATATCATAGATAAGGTAGCATATTTTAAACTACTAAAATAGGTAGTAGCATCATCAAAGGGTTCTAATAATGTAATAATTTGATTTAACAAATCCCATTTATATGAAAAAAGAAGTAGTTTTTTTAATTTTTGACTATCAGACTGATTATTTGAATTATCAGATAAAGGCAACATCACAGCCAACTATTCAATTGCTTTGCATAATTTAAGTAGTCATTTCTATGAATGTATTTGGAATTCTACTTTGTCTTCATATCAGAAATATTTTGAATAGAGTTTTCAGAACCTGTAATAATATTTATTGATGATATACTATTTGAATTACTATCATCTGAATTACTATTATCTGAATTTGATACATTAATATCACTATCACTATTATATATATTATTTTGAATTTGTGATTATTGATACTCTAATTATGTCTTGTCAAGATACTCACTTTGCTTAGGAAGTTAGTAAAAAATCAAACTAGTTTTTTTATTCACTTAATATAACTATTTGTCTTTTTAAATGCACGTGCAACTAATAACTACAGAGTATGAGCTGCATAGAGCAAACGTTCAACTTCCTCCCACAATCTAATTGCTTTAACTATATTACTACTATTATTAGTAATAATACATATTATTTTTCCATCTAATTCAAATTCTGAAACTTTTTTTTTTAAAAAAAGCAACTATAATTTCAGCAGAATGAAAATACAATATATGCTCCATACAAAGAAAGCAATCATATATTTTAAAATCATTTAATAGCTAATAGAGTATTATACTAATATACCCATACTTACTACGTACAGTTTATAGATTTATTGTTAGAGATGCTGACTCATAGGTATTATCTAATAATTTTTTTAAGCCTTCAACTGCATTAGGATATTCATTATTAATTCCTTCTTGATTTTTTTATTAGTAGGAAGTTTAAAGGCTAGATCAATAATTTTTATTATTTTTTTGTATTCTTTTTTTTTATTATATTAAATAATAGATTGTCAACAACTATCTATTCAGCAATTGCTTGCTGAATTTCTTAATTTCATAGTTCATTATACTTCTTAACCTTCACCTGTTCAAAAGTTTCTGATAATATTTGCTGAATAGTATGATCCTGTTTCTATATTATTATTATAATCAGTAATTATTAACTAATTATTTTTAAGGTCTAGTAACCTAGTATAGTAGTTAGATTGTTAGACTGCCATGCAATAGGTCTGAGGTTCAAATCCTACTGTTGACAAATTTGAATAATTTCTCAGACCTTGTGATATGTTATGGTAAACTTTGTCTGTTTCTGGAGGCGTACTCCTGTAAATTGAGTTATATCAAATCAATCAGAACTTAGAAGTATAGTATAATATTACATGAATAAATCTTGATAGAATATACAAGCAGAGGACCTGCATAGTAGAAATCCAGAGTTAGTAAAGTAGTACAGCCTTCTAACAGAACTATATTGGCTAAAGTCTGATCTGAGAAGAAAACTCAGTCTAATAAAGGTAGAAGGTTTCGAAGTCTCCAGACAAAGAGTAACTAGAACTGGCTGGATACTAGAAAAGAACTAGGTCAACTAACTAGTAGAAGACTATAGTGGAATCTGAGATTGTATGAACATCTACAAGGATCTAAGCTAGGTGAATCTGTAAAATAGGTATGAACCACTCTAGTAGGTTTGATTCAAGGTTAACTAGCTCTGCGGTACTAGCAATATGTCTGGTATAATATATCCCAAGAGGACCTAAGTCATTTAGATAAATAGATCTGTAATGAGCTAGCTAGCTTAAGCAATTAAATGTTGCAGTGATATTAGGTTGGATCTGTATGAGTTAATGAACAGAGTGTTTAAATAGGTAACTCACAGGTGAGTTACAGGTATAGCAGCATAGTGTAGAACTAATCAGGTGATCTAATACTTATGTAACAGACTACTTAAAATAGACAATGACTAAAGTTGTATATGTAGCTTGTTGTATACTCTTCATATAATTATAAACAGTAGAAATTATCAATATATAATCCTGTTGACAATTCTAATAAAATTCTTTTAGCAATATAAGCTGTCTTAACAACAAAAAAAAAAAAACTAATTATTTTTATTAATGAAAATTACTTATAACATTTCGACTTTCATGTAGATTATGTTTGTTTTAGAGATAGTTATTCATATTTCCTGTACTACTATCATGCAGAAATTAGTGACTACATACAACTTTTTTATTACTCAAATTCAATATTTCAGTCATAAACACATCATATTGCTTATTCTTGCTCAACTTAAAGTACTTCCTCACCTAATATATTTTTATTTAGGCTTTAAATATTTTAATTGTCTAGTTTTTAAATGAGTTTTTTTTTTTTTTTTGCATGTAGTTGATCTTCTAAAAGTACTACAGAAGTCTCACTACTAGAACTAATAGTTACATTATCACTGGCCTCCCGATGTGAATTAAAAAATGAAATTTGTTCAGAAAGCTCTTCATTTTCATTATAACTATCCTCCAAATAAGATGTATTTTCTTTAGAAGGGTTTTCTCCTTTATTATTGTTCTCTTCTCATTTATCATAACAGTAATTATTCTGCTATTTATTATAATTATCTTCCCAAGATACAGTTTTTTTAGAAGGTCTATTACCTTCATTATTATTTATACCTCTACTATTACTCATTATACTAAATATGTACATATAAAAAAAAAAAAAAAAAAACTTTTTTTAAAAAAAGAAAAAAAAAAATTTATGACGGACTTCTATTTGGAAAGTTTATTTTATGTAGAACTTATTTTATATGAAATATCACTTTTAAAAAATTTATATATTTGTGGGAAACTTGTCTTATATAATATCATTTTAGAAAAAGAGAGGAAATAAAAAAAAAATAAAAAAAATTGATTACTATCAATTGATCTATTCTCTTTTGACATTACAATCATAATTATACAATGCTATCATTAATGTATTTACTAATTTTATCTAGGAATGTTATCTTGCTTAAAATGCTAAAAACTGCTTAATAAGATTTGCTCATTATTGCTATCACTATGATTACTTTTTGATATAAACCTAATTAAACTTATTCATAATCTTTTTAAGAACATATTTTATTAATAGTAGTCAATAATTTAGCTTGATTTGAAGGAAATATTACTATTTTTAATACTTAGAAACCCTGTTTATGAAACTAGTTTGCTTAAAACTGCTTAGAAGCAATTATTCATTTTGAGTATGATTTTTTAATTATTTTCTACTAATCAAACTTGTTATTAAATAAGGAAAAAAAAAAAAAAAACTTGTTACTAACATCTTTTCGAATGAAGTTACTTATTATAACAAATTATTCTGATTATTTTTTAACAAGTTATTTTAAAAGTTAGCTTAGGTTATATAAAGCAGGATAATTTTATCATTATTAATTTTATCTTCTGATCTTGAAATCTGATTAGCTAGTTTACTTCAGGTATATTAGTTTAATATAAATCAGTTTACTCAAGTTGCAAAAACTTAACTTGAGTCATCTGTCTACTCACAAATAACTCAGTTTGTACTAACTTAAATTCAACTTCTAATTATTACTTAGTAGAATTAGTTTTTGATTTGTACATTATATTTAATAGGAGTAACATATTGAAGTAATAAATTTTTATTTTGATTTCTTTATACAAATATGTAGAGAGTGTATTCTTAATAGAAGTATTAGCAAAGAAGGCTTCCTATTAGTCTTAGATTATCTGAGGTTCTTGATCATCTTCTTTATTATTGTCTAAGTAGTTAATATTTCTAGAGTAAGAAGATGAAACTCTTTGATATTTATTCTTTCTATTAAGTTCTCGTGAGTGACTTCAGCTTCTATTATCTTTATTCTAGTTTTGATAATTTCTTTCTTGACTTTGTAATCAATCTTTTTTTTTTTATTGATTATCAGAACTTTGATAAGAGAGTCTCAAAACTCTTTCTCTTAAATTATTATTTGAGTTATATCTTCGATTATTATCACAATTATATCTTTAATTTCTATTTCCTTTACATTAATTATTCTTTTTAGTTTAGTATTAAGCAACAAAAAAAAAATAACAACAAATACTCTTTCCCGCGCCCCTGAATTTTATAAGAAAAATAAAAAACAACAAAATATCGACTGAAAATACTAGATACAACT